TATCGTGTACTGATTATTTTGAAAATGTGACCACCAGTGGAGGTTTCCCTAATTATAATAGTTGCACTGATTACTTCAGAAAAACTCTTCAATCTGTTGAATCTACCAAAATTCTAGATCATGGATTAATAATCAATCTATTTTAACCGAATCTAACAAAAATGTATTAACCTCCCTACGGTGTACAAAAAAAGGTTAGAACAGCCTTGTTGACCGGATTTGACCCAACGATTTCGGAGGCATTTCAGATTATTTGCACCCAAACTAATATTTTGGGCTTAAATGTTGTGAATCCGGTCACAAATCAAGGATTGGCCGGAATTGACCACTCAGAATCGGTGTCGGAATGATCAAGGTTTGACAATTTTTGTACGGGTGTGTTTTTTCACAATAGGTGTCGTAAAATGCATCTGCATTGCATTTGATAAGGCTGAATATTTTGTAACTTGAAACCAGAATGTACATCACTGTCCATGTGTACTGTCCAGGAAAAAATAAGGCTATCCGGTAGCCAGGTTCCGGAAACACCGTAAATGTATCCATTTTATAATTTTCATAGAAGCAATTCATGCGACACCTCAAAATTCTCAGAATTTCATGGATAATTCATCAGAAGTGGAATCGTTGTGTCAAATCCGGGTCAATATGACCCGAATACCTTAAACATAGCTTTTTTGTGGAGCCCTTCAGAAACGTCCAAACATTTCCGTCAAAACGGAATTTTCCAAAGATTAAAAGTCACAAAATTTGAGAGCGATAACTGGAAACCGTCAAAAGTTATAACACTTTGAAAGTGCGATTCGGGTCATAATGACCCGAACACCGTAGTAAAATTCAATAAAGCTTGGGTGCGCTGTAGAAACTGGATGAAGTATCTAGAGCAGATGTGGGTGAAATTTGTTCTAAAATCTCCTATTTTGAATCAATTACTCACTTGAGATTGACAATTTCGTGAAAGCAATGAATGCGAATGTCGTTCAGATGGAAGCAACTTAAATGATTAGGGAGGAGAAAGCACTTTGCATAAAGTTAAAGTCAGTAGAAACGATGCTGCATAACCCCTACGGAATTGGGTCTTGACATGTACCCAGGTGTACGGGGTGTTTATATGGCCGTGAAAAAGGAAGCAGTTGGGCATTTTTCAGGGGAATATATCCTAAGAAGAGAGACGCTTAGGGGGGAGTTGGTGAGTGTCTACGGTCGATACAAATTTTCAAAAATTAGTTTAGGATTGCCTACGTGGTAGGAAGGAGGAGGGGGGGAGGTCTAAAAACCACAGGTGTTTTATTGTATGTAAGATGGAGGGGTACTGGGAGAACTCCTGCCCAAGCGGTAGGTCCATAAACAGCCAGAAAAGAAAAAATAACACGACAGAGAGCACAGCCAATGTTGTGGCAGCAGGTACCTAGATTGTTGGACAACAACCGAAGAGATAAACGGAGAAGTGGTGAAAAAAAAATGAATAAACACGGCTGGCACTGGTAAAGGAAAAATTATTGGAAGAATTAAACAAGTTTCGGGCACAGTGGAAAGCACACCACACCGTTTGAATAAATCGACGTAATTAACGCTAGTTTTGGCGTAAATCTACACCTAATGTATAAATTTAAGCGCGATATCGGATAAATCAGTAAGTTTGCAAACAATTTCGATGAGAGATACAGATTTGTGTAATTCACAAAAGTTGTAGTTAATATCAAAAACTACAAAACCTACATTTTGTAAGATTCTGTTGATGCAAAAAGGTAACGGAAAATAAATGTAAATTATTTTTCATGCCTAGTGCCAATTATAAAGGGTGTCCCACATCAAATTACATCACTAAAAAAAATCTGTGGAAAATTACCTAGTTGACCGATCCTTTTCAAACTTTCAGGCAATAAAATATAACCCATTAATAAGCTCTTGGTATATTTATTTCATTCAACTTCAAAACCATAACCGTACGCTCGCACCTTACGCTTAACTCCAATCATTAGGTTCTGTATAATATGTGGCTGCAGCTTCTTCTGTACGGAAACCCACTTTTTCTTCATGTCTTCCTCAGATTTGACCAATACTTCCGTAGTGCCTGCTTCATAATAGTCGAGTATTTTTCGATGGGCCTTAGTTCCGGTGCGTTGGAGGGGGGGGGGGGGGGTCATGTCCTTGGGTACGAAAGTGACACCTTTGGCTTCGTACCACTCCAGAAGATCGTAGGGCCCCTCGTGTTGCTTCAACAGAGGAAGCAGACGCTTCTGTAGACACTCCTTAAGGTATATCTCTCCGTTTACAGTCCCGGTAGTCACGAGCGGCGCATCTCTGTTTGCCACATGAGCAGATCTCTTGCCAAATCATGTATTTCTTGGCAAACTTTGAAAGTTTCTGCTTCCTTTCAAACTTGTGCTGGGCGGTGAAGAACAGTACGGAAGATGCCAGAGGTCCGCCTTGACGTAAGTCTCATCATCCATGATGAGACAATGAGGCTTCGTCAGCATCTGGGTGTACAGTTTCCGGGTCCGTGACTTTCCCACCGTATTTTGCCGTTCGTCACGATTTGTACGTATGCAGTCCCTCCCGGCCCTTGGCTCTCTGACCGAAAGACTTGGACAGATTCAACTTTTTGGCCACATCCCTGACTGAAGCATTGGGATTCCGCTTAAACGTTTTCACGACACGCGTTAGTGATCCTGATCACTAATAGAACATCCATTCTGACCGCATTTCTCCTTCCGTTCGATGCTCAGAGTTTCGTAGTAACGTTTAATCACACGACTCACCGTTGATTGCACGATTCTGAGTTGTTTTCCGATGTCCTGATGAGAGAGTTGAGGATTTTCCAGGTGCTTGCGCAAAATCAATTGGCGACGTTGCTTTTCGGGTGACGCCATTTTTCCAACTATCGAAAAACTGACAGCGATAAAAATACAGTGTAAACAATACACTCTAAACTACTTCTACCCTTATTTTCAAGAGAAAATATCTAATGAGTAATTTTCTACAGCGTTTTTTCCGTGATGCAATTTTACGTGGGACACCATTAAGCCTAAAATTAAACGAACGATAAACGATTTTACGCGATGTTTAAAATTCAGAATATGGCCACTCAAGTAAAATCACAAGAACTCTTCACAATCTGACCATGGTTCACCATAGTATTTTAATCAATTATAAAATTGTTTTTATTCGATTGAGCCTGTACAAATAAAGCAATTATAAAAAAAAAACTATAAAATTGTTTTACAGACTTTCGGCTTCGCAATCTTTTTTTGAACAGTTGAGCCGCATAATAAATAAATGAACTCACTTCCGTGGCAAATTGAACGTTTTACAGTAAATTTGGTGTTTTCAGATGATTGTGGTTTTTAGGCCCGTTTTAGTGATTAAAGTGGTTTTAAGAAATTTTTAGCGTCAAGGTCAAATCATGTCTTACAATTTTTTATATTTGAAAAAGATTTTTACGTATCAAGATCAATTTAGAACGTTACAGCACCCAAGTTTTCACCGAACCTTGTTTGGGAGCAACAAACCAATCTCAGCGTGTATTAGTACGTTTACGGTTGTCGAAGAGCTTTCTAAGTCTAATAAATAAGCTGGACGTTTTGCAACTCGAATTAGATCTGTGTAAAATTAACTTTAATTTTATTCATTCAGACTAAATTGTCAGATGAAATATTTTTGATACAAATACAAATACAAACACAAATTTGGCGAAACTATTAATGGTATATATCAACACGCAAAAAAATGAGCATAAACCTTAAATTTAAGGGTGGATGTACTCTGTATGTTTTCTTACAGAAAATGTCAATTCTTACAGCGGACTGCAGTGTACAATTAAATGTTTTTAGAATAAATATGTTCATCCCAACCCATCAGGGGCTGATTTTCTAGCAGCAGAGCTTTTAGGGAAACAAGCTTTGATCGATAAATAATCTATCATTGGCAACTGTATTGTTCTGGATTGAGAAAAGAAAGAGCAGTAAAAAAGAAGACTATCGATGCATATTTCATCCAAGATGCCAACAATCATTGCTGCAATAGGCCTTGAAAGAACCAATTATACTTGAAAGAAGCAAAACTAGGCATATCTTCAGATTTGAAGATATGATATTTTATGAAAGTGTAAGCTGATATGAAAAATCGTAAACTAAAAATGTATCAGCAGAACATATTCCTACATTTAAAATCTCGAAAAAACAAATTCCCAGTCGTTATTCATAAATCAATTTCTGCGCCTATGATCTTCAAATTTATCTAATTCACAACCTTGGAAAGATTTCAATTCGGCCATGTTAAAATTAGGACAAAATTTTGAATGCTTTTTTTTTTTGAATTTAAGGTTCTTTTTTGAAAAACACAGAAGGAAGAGATTTTTTTTCGAGTGCTAAAATTTTCATATAAATTTTCTAGGTAGGTGTTATCAAAGAACTACAGTCAAGATTTTCCAATTTATTTAATATCTGAGCAGGAAGACAGGGATACATTTTTTAAAGTATCAGATTGTTCAAAATTGTTTCGATGAGTTCTCTAAGCTCTATATTTCACTTCGGCCTACTGGCTAAAACGAGGGTAGAGTTTCTTGGGGTCTTATCAAGGTGAGTGTTGGCATGAATTAATTAATTAATTTAGCTTTATTTAGGAGGCTTTCAGCCTTAGGCTGGTTCGCCTCCAATGTGTTGGCATGAACCCATCCATAAGATTTCCTTTTAAAACACAGCACATGCGTCCATCTATCACACACATCACACATCACCATGCTGGAAGTTTTTGGGTTCGATTCCCGGTCCAGTCTATGAACTTTTCGGGTTGGACAATTTCTCGACTGCCATGGGCAATAGAGTATGATTGTAATTGTCACAAAATAATACAAATGCAGAAAAGCTCTCAATCAGCGGCGCCGGTGGTGTAGTGGTAAGCGTGATTACCTCTCACCTCAGCAGGCTTAGGTTCAATCCCAGTCGGCGTGATCACGCCTTCCTTCGGAAAGGAATTAAAGCCGTTGGTCCCCGGTTCATGAGTTGATGGTTCGATATGTAGGGTCCAGGTGTGGGTGCTGCCTCCCTGGCGTCGGTAGCATTGGTGCTCAGCACGGAAAAAAAAGATCGACGGAAAATAAATCAAGGAAAAAAAATACAACAAAAACTGGTTTTTGAGAACCTGAGGCAAGGGGAAAGACAGCTTTTGATCATGAGTAAAATCGGAGGTAATGTTGAGTAACTCTGAGTAACTCGCGTTGATCAACATCAAATACACATAGCAACCTGATTTTTGTGTCGAAATCTGTCATCATCAGTGGGGGCTGCAACCGATTGACATATTTTTCCACAATAATTTCATAAACAACTGAAAACAGGTGCCGAAGTTCTTACGAATGAGATACTTGTGATGCTGGACTTGCTGGATTGTATAATTCTATCCTGGATATCGGTGTTACAGAATGCGAGATGACCACCAGGCCTGAGTTAACGGATACCATCATCGGGTGGATCTATTTGCAGAAACAAATGAAGCTGTTTTAAGATTGTGGCTTGTGCCACCGTTTATTTCTGCTTCTCCCAGTATCTAGCACTTTGCTGAATTTTCATGAGCAGCTTGAGAATGGCGTCCACCAAGAAAGATCACCAGCTGACGAAAATGACATTTCCCGGAGCTATTGTTCAAGCGAACAGGGAATGTTTTAGCACTGAGCTCTCCTTGAATTCCCTTGGAATTATGGTTCAAATATCGTTTGTATCCTACTTCTTCTAGCACATGGTTACTCTTTCTTCCAATCTCCATTTGACGACTTCTCACCAACCCATCCTTGATGGCGTCGCAGGTCTCGTTCTGCCGATGCTCGCGACTAGTTTCGGAACCGCATACCGCTCAACTGATCATTTCTGCGATAAATTAAAATTCCTTCCCAGTTATCCCTTTCTAGATATAAGGAACTGTTTCGCCGCATACGTCTTTCTGTCGTATCAATGGTGGTAACCAGCTCTTTGATATAAAATTTTGGTAGATATCGGTAGAGATGAACCAGCCTAAGGCTGAAAGTCTCGGTAATAAAGGAAAAAAAAAAAAAAGGTAGATATCGTAAGGCTTCTACGCACTGTTTCTGCACCCAGACAGAAACTAATACCACAAACGAAGTGACAGCCGACTAACTGGCGAAGAAATAAATTAAAATAATGTGGTTCGCTGTTTTAGAAATTTGGTGAAAATGCTAGTACAATCCAGTACACGGGAAAAAAAGAGTTCCCATATTCGTGAACCACAGCCGTGAACCATAGTTCACGGTGTATATTTGAGAAAATTTTGTTCTGGATAGCTGGCCGTGATTTTTAGTTCACGGTCCGTTCCCGTTTTCGGGAACAGATTTTTTTCCAAGTAGTAGTGTTGCCATGTGGTACATTGAAAAATTGCAATAGCAGGTTCGTCACCAAAGTTTTCGAGCCGCTCCGTCTGTCACTCCATTTGTGCTAATAGACCACCTAGAAAAGAAAGCTTTAGCTATGATAAATCAGGTGTCTTCATAAGAATCAAATCCCTGATTACGAGCGATATCTTGACGACTAATGCCGATTGATGTTACATAGTTCACGCGGTTGATGTCACAATCTGTTATCAGATATGACCCGTCCTGCAAGCGATCTCATACAATTTTAACGATTATTAATTTAACAAATGCATGATTTCAACTCAAATAAATAAAATCTTGGGTAGGGAGATGACGTCTGTTTCGACTTTTCATTGAAGGTATGTATATTTTGAACAATGCGAGACTACTTTGGTCAGTTTTGTGTAATTATGAGTTGCTCAAATTTACTCGCTGCGAATCTTTTTGCTCTGAGTACAGCTGACTTGCCCCTTGCTCTGAGGTAAAAACATTGAAATGTAAATAAATCGGTTACATCCTAGAATTTTGAATTTTGATGATATCATTAACATAACATAAAGATTTTTTTTGCGTTTGAACCTTTCAATTAACCTGTATCCAATGAAGCTCAGAGATAATCCCAGTGCATCTGCTTTGTAAGGCTTCTTGAACCTGTAGAGCAAGCTCAACTTGAATTAGGTAAAGCTTAAATCTCGCGTAACATTTGAAAAGGGCCTATAACAAAACGTGTAAAGCCCCTTTTGCGCGAATCGAAACTCGCCTATGCAAACCAACAGGTAAGGGAATCGGGCGTCCGTCGGTTCGCGTTAAACGTGTTTACATAAGCTGATAGGCCCTGTTAAAATGTTCGCGTGTAATCCTCTACTGGAACACTCCACAACACTTATCATCTATAAGTATCATGAAGTTTGTCCCACTGCATTGATTAAAATCTCTGAAGTAAGGCTAGCCATTCTACCATAGTGGCTGTTATGTATTTCATTAGCTGATTAAAGTGATTTAAGTTCAAAAACAGCAGATTTATTACTTTTATGATAGTATTTATGATTAATGACGAAATATTAGAATACCAAATTCTTTCGGTTAAAGTATGCTTATTATGTTTTATGATGTTTAATACGCCAATATATTTCACCTGCTGGTGATAAAAAATATTCCAGCCTGAGTGAATAAAATTCACACTGATTTTGACAGAGTACGCTACGAAGCATTCATTGAAACAAAATAGCTTCGCTCAAACGCTCACGATTTTCCACGCTAAACGGTCAGTTTACCAGATTCATATCGATTCACAGCGAGAGAAAAGCATTTCGCGATGATATGCGTTAACATTTCACAAACGTACCCTCCCAGGATCTTCGCTCGCAAATAGAAAGACCATTAACAACGACGCAAAAATGCTGTAACAATTTAAAGCTTGCTAAAATATCGCTAGTGAAAATGATAATGCATCTCTTCGCATGCCCAGTTCACGAACACACGCACACTCAGCCTTCTACCACCCACCCACCCGTTGACGTTAATGGCGTTGATGGCTCACAACAACAGAACCAACAAAAAATATGCCTCGGAGATGTGCTGATGGATAAAAGCACTCACAAAAAAACATGAAAACCGCAACGCATAGCGAGAAAGTTGTTGCGTTTTCCACACTGACAAACTCATACACACACAGAGACCACCTAATGCCTACAAGCAGGGCCGATACATTTTTTGCGCTTTTCGTCCATTTCTCGCTTGTCGAAATTATATTCAACAAACAGAAGGTTTTTTCATTAAATTATACCACGTTCATCACATTTTCGGCCGTTCCTCTCCCGGCAACAGATTCGATGGTTTTGTGTTATGAAAGATACACGATGGCTCAGTTGTTGTATGTTTTCTTTTTATCAATAATGCATTTACGAACAAACTCGACGACGGACGGTCAAGTTATTTTTTTTTTTGGTTGATTGTGAAGCTTAACAAGTGTCCGGAATGCATTTTGTGTATTAAACCAAGTGCAGCACAGAGAAAACCTGTTCCTCAATGTGACAACTTTTGAAAGTGCTCCGGAGCAAGACACTTGATGTGATACGTTATGAAGCACGCTTTCGGCGGATAACTTGATTTTATCACAATTAGCTCCCTATTCACAACGGAAGCATATTGTTGCAAAAAGTCTAAAGCGAATATGCGTAGGTGCTCTGCAGGGGGTAAAACCAGATTGGACGGTCAAGCGCATGACCGTGGCCTTCGGCAGGGTGAGCTCTACCTCTACCGTGCGCCTCCATCGTCTGCGTCATTCCGACGGAGGAGGGAGTCTGCAATACACTGATACAAAGGACCCAAAGCTACAGACAACCCTACCGGCAGGATGACTTCCTATTTACTTCCTCGCGGATGAAACTGCTGAAAGCTGTTTGCCCTATACAGATGCAGATATGGCACGACCTATGGTTCTCATCCCATCCGGTGTTGTGGTCGAGTCTCACACCGTTGGCTTTATACTAGGTCCCACATGTTTAGCCCCAAGTCGGTGCAATGCAAAGCACGGACGCACAAACAGGGATGCATCATCGCTTTCAGCATCAGTCGAGTGATGATATCTTCTCGTGCTAGAGCTGCATGTGCTCCGGTGAGATTGAAGTGATTTATGATGAAAGGTGGCTGATACGCAGTAACGGTACCAAATTTGCCGCTTGCCAGAGTGGTGTCATTTTATATGAGTGCATGGATTACTTTGGATGATGTCATCTGGAAAGTTTAGATAATAGAAGATTGGACAAAGTATAGGTGAACTTTCAGCATTGAAATGATAAATGCTTGCATTTTCATCTGAAGTCAGAAGTTGCATTTATAACAAATGTAATAGAATAGGAATGTAAACGTACTATTTTTAGTTTCGTACCTGAACAAAAGCTGTGCATTCAGCTACAGGCCGAATCTAACAAAATAGTTAGAATAGTGCGTACTCAGCTTTTATATAACCACTATTTACAGTTAATGAATGCTTGCACAACTTCTATACACATGTTACTTAAGTTCAGTCAAGATTGACGTTTTTCTTATAAAAATACGCTCTTTTCAAATGTTGATATCTCAGGTTGGGGCAAATATTAAACATATATAGATCAGTAAATAATTGCATTAAAAAAATAATATTCATGAGCAACAATATTTATGATTTCTTCTTATTTGTCCTGGGTTTTGCAACTGCTTTCTGCCGTCGACGAAACTCTCTTTTCTCTTCGGAGAGATTTTCCTTCCAGAGCACCAGCCGCTTGGCTTACGCTTGAAAAGGAAGTCAACCAGTCCATCTTGCATAAAAAACACATGTTTTTGTTTCCCTCATACAATATGTTTTCCTTCCGATTGAGGAAATGGACCGATGAGAGAATCTCCTTTTTATCTTCCATATACATTCCATATACACACTGCATACATCAGGTTACATGTCAATGTCCAGCTCAGCAGAGAATTTCTCCCGAACGATACGCTTCACTTTTTTTTCGTATTTCCCCAACACCAAAGCTAGAGCATTATCCGGGTCTTATATTGGCAAACCATAAACTCGCTCGTATTGAATGTTGCCTCCTGCAGGCTACATATTTACCTTCACTGCCTTTCCATCGGCATAATGAAAAATTAAATCCACACTGTTGTTACTTAGTGCATAAAGCTCAGACTCCTCCGACTTAAACTTGATGAACTCACAATCTTCTCCGATATCTGATAACTTGCTTTTAGTAGCCTTTGCGTCAGCGTCTTGACGAAATTGGCAATTTCGTCCAAGGAAGTCGAAGTCAAAACAACCGGTGTTCTAGACCTCAATTCCAGGCATCATCGAACTTAGTTTTACTTCACCGATCGACCAAGCTGCAGGCAATGAACAAAGCTTTCGGGAAAACAGCTTCCATCGGCTATATGAACGCGTGATCTAGACCGAGAGAACCGCTGCTACTGCCTGTTGTATCGGCAACAGTTAAAAAGTCGCAATGAAGCGGCAGCGGAAAGCCCGATCTGAATAAGCCCACTTGTCTGATTGAAAACTAGTTAGAACCAAATCGACTTCGGTTAGGCATCTTGATGTCATAAGTGACATCTGTCAAACTTGCCGTTTCCGTTCCGCTTCCGCCGACATTGCGTTTGGGCCGTCTCTTTTGGAAATTTATTATGATTTTTCGTTAGAATTTCCTTGGACATTTCGTCAGAATCTCCTCCAACGCTACTTGGAATTTCTTTGGAAATATGCTCAAAATTTCCTTTGAATTCTTCTCTTTGTAACCTTTTTCTTCATCTTCATATTTTCAAACTTATTGCTTATCGCATATTAGCTTATTGCGTGCTCTCAACTTAGTGTTCTAGATGCTTCCACAGTTATTAATTGAGAGCTTTCGATGCCTGTAACATTTTTGCATTAGTATAATTGTGTGGCAAGTACATTCATACTCTATGCCCAGGGATGTCGAGAAATGTTCCAACCCGAAAAATTCCTAGAGCGAACGTGATTGAATTGTAGAGGTGGCTAGATTATATTGGTCATAACAGTAGAATTTTCATTGGATTTTGAATTTTATTCTGCGCCCGAAATCGTCAACATGTTCAACTACATTTATAATTCACTCAGAACTCTTCACATGCTTTCTTTAAAACGTTTTCAAGATGTTCCTTTGAATCTATATGCATTACAAAATTCTTTTCAGAATACGCCTAAAATGAACATGAGATTCTCTGATACTCCATAGTGATTTTCTTTATAGCAGTCTAGAAACTCTCGTCAGAACTCTATATTATGGAGTTTACTCTAAGATTCTTTTCGAA